CACCCCCGACACACACACGGTCCACCAAGGTGCATCACGCTCCACCAAGGTCCATCAGTGGCTATTAGCCACAAGGTATAGATAGGGGCTCTGGGGCAAGTGATGCTCTGTCTTCTTGGTGCTTGGGGGGGGGTCAACAGTGGGAGGGCTTCTAATGTCCTGGCCCCACTGGTGGACCTCCTGATGGCACTGGTATTTCTGGCCACTGTGTGACACAGAGTGTTGGACGGGATGGGCCTTTGGCCTGATCCAACATTGGCGTCTCTTATGTTCTTATGTTCTTATGTCGGAGGCTGGGCAGGTGGTTGGCAACGTCATGTTGGATGGCTGCCTGCACAGGGACTCAGATAGATGCTCATTCCTCTTCCTCAGCTCCTTCCCCTCACCTTGGGGGGGGGGGAATGCCACATAGTGGCTTTGCACTTTGGGGGGGGGGGATAGAGCCGATACTGGGCCACCCACTGCTGGGAGTTGGGTTGGAGCTTTGTCCATGGGGCTGCTGCTTCATGGGGCTTTCTAATCCGGCCGAGCGACAGATATCTTGGCTGCTTGACCAGCAGGAGCAGAGAACGGAGTGGCCAGCCATCCCCCAGGACTGCTGCTGGCCAAGCAAGGGGTTTCTACTGACATGACCTCAGCCTGGCAGGGCAGTGATGCGCAGCCAGCCTCTCTGCTCACTCCCAGGGGCAGTGTGTACTTACTGACTGCTTGCCCCTGTTGTGGGAGGCAGGATAGCTGAAGCAATATAAAAGGTAGGTACGTGGGTACCCCCCCCCCACAGCCTACCTGGATGGGGCACATTGTTCCCATTTGGAAAAGTGGAGGCTCTCCTTGGACATCTCTTTCCTGAGGTGGCAAACCTGTTGGGGTCCTGAGCAGAGCCGTATTAGCTGTATGGTATAGCACCTCTGGCTGCGGTGGCTCAAGTGGTTAAGACACTGAACTGCAGACCGGAAGATCGGTAGTTCAGCAGTTGAGACCCTAGTGCCGTGTGACGGAGTGAGGTCCCGTCTCTGGTCCCAGCTCCTGCCAGCCTAGCAGTTCGAAAGCAAGAAATTGCAAGTAGATAAATAGGTACCACTTCGGTGGGAAGGTAACAGCGTTCCGTGCACCTCGGCGTCTAGTCATGCCGGCCACATGACCACGGAAATGTCTTTGGACAGCACTAGTTCTTCGGCTTGGAAACGGAGATGAGCACCGCATCCCTAGAGTTGGATTTGACTGGCTTTTGAGCAAGGGGAAACCTTTACCTTACAGCACCTCCTTGCCTGTTTGAGGCAAATGCCTCTTCTGGGGGGGGTGCCCTTCACCAGATGTGTTCTCCGGGCCATGGGGCCAGGCTCCCTCTCACCTGGGTGCTGGATGTCCCATCTGGGGTTTGCAAAGTGCCCAGCTGGGCTGCAGGTTTCTTTGCTGTCCTAAGCGGCACCGGGGCTGGGTGGGTGGCTGGAAGTGGGTAGGACTGGCATCCTCAGCCTTCGTGTGAAATGCTTAAAAACCACACCAGGGTTATTGCTGGCGAAATGTTATGCTTCTAACCTGGATAGACCAAGTCGCATCAGATCTCAGACGTTTAGCAGGACTGATTAGTACTCTGACGGGAGACCACCAAGGATCTCCAAGGTTCCTATGCAGAGGCCAGCAATGGCAAACCACCTCCGGACGTTTCTTGCCTTGAAAACCCAGTGAGGGGTAGCCATAAGTCATCTATGACTTGACAGTACTTTATGCCACCAACGTTATGCTGGTGCCAGGCCTGGGAAGCTGGAGGATGTTGATAAAGCCCAACTCTACCCCCCCCCCGACCTTGGATCTGAAGCAGTGTGGTTTGCGTATCTCCCATTTGTGTATCTTCAGGCTGTGCCGGCGTAGGGCATGCTGGTCATCCAAAGCAACATGCAGGCAGAGTTTAGGATTGCACCGTTAGGTAACATTGGGGGGATGGCTGCCAAGGGCCTGGCCTGCCCTCCTTAACAAGCAGCCTCTTAGTGCCATGGGTGCCGCTTGGCTGTGGCCCCCGCTTTGCAAATCCGTTTTGGAAAATTTTGCTCCATGCTTCAACTGAATACCAAATGTATGAGGTCATCTTGGAGTCCTTTAACACTCTGCTGCTTAAACATGGGCCATTGCAAAGGGTTGGGGGAGGGGCACAGAGAAATGTAGGGAATCAGGCTGGATAGAACCCGTTTGCATCAGTCTTGAAATCTGTCCATTTGCTGAGCAAGCGTGTGCACCAGTTGGTTGCCGTTAACCGTTCAAACAAGTTGGCGTGCGGCTAAAGAGAGCCTTTTGTGCAACCTCAGAGTACAATCTTTGGCCGCACCACCCATGCGCTCAGGGCAGAATGAGACCTGTGGGAAGCAATGCTCCCTCTAAACTGTGGGGCCTTGTGAGCAAAAATTCTTCTTTGTGAGCTACTGTCATTAAAGTTGTGAGCAAGCGATTTGGCTACTGTATAAATTAGTTTGCTCTGGAGCCGTCCCTTCCTGAGCTAAGACAAAAATGTGCGAGCCGGAGGCTAAAAAACTGTGAGCTAGCTCACACTAACTCAGCTAGCTCACACTAACTCAGCTTAGAGGGAACATTGGTGGGGTGATGAGACATGGATTCCCATGTGGCAAGGATACTGAGCAAGATCACTGGCTCCAAGACTGAGGCTGCAGTTGTAGCCACCCTTCTCTGGAGCAAAGTGGGGTTGACTTTTGGTCAAATATGCACAGGATGAGGCCACTGTTCTCTCTAAGCTGAGTTACTATTTTAGCCTCTGGCTCACACATTTTTGTCTTGGCTCACGAAGGAGGGCTCCAGAGCAAACTAATTTATGCAGTAGCCAAATCGCTCACCCACAACTTTAATGACAGTAGCTCACAAAGTAGAATTTTTGCTTGCAAGATTCCCCAGCTTAGAAGGAGCATTGGACGAGGCTCTAAGTGCACAGGATTCTCCAGCACCAAGGACCAGTAGTCACTGGGCAAAACAGCCAGTGTGCTGCTCAGTCAGCAGGGCCACAAATTCCCAGCACTGGAGGAGGACTGTGCGCGTGTGTGAAGCGAGGAGGACAGGGTGACGGGGTGGGACACGGGACAGCCTCTCCTGCCTGTAAGCACCGCTGCAGTTGACTTGGGTTTCCTCCTGGACCCACAAGAAGACATACAAACGATGGGCTTTTGCAGTGCTGAAAGGCAGGCTCTTTTCCCTCAGCTTACAGAGCTGCTGAGAGCTGGTGTGGTGGTTGGAACAGTGAGCCTGGGTGGTTTCAAATCCTGTCTCAGTCATACAGACTCATGTTGGGGCCGTTTTTCTTTCTCGCAGCCCAACCGATCCCACAGTGCTGTTGTGAGAGTAAAAACAGAGAAGGCAAGAACCACCACCCTTAGTTGCCAGGAGTCAGGGCAGGATGAGAATTTGGTCTCGTTTTTGCTTACATTCACTTTGTCCAGGTGTGTTTACCTTGCACAGATGACAGCACCGTCGCCTGGGCTCGTAGGATCTAGCCAGTGTATACTTTCACTGCTGGAGAAGCGTCCTGTGTTCTATTTAGGGGAGGTGGCTGCGTTCTGAGAAAAGGCTTTGCTTTCTCTGAGTATTCCTTCCTGATCGTTTGGGGGTCAGTTTAGAAGTTGGGGTTTCCTGTCGTAAAGTGTTGCTGAGGCTATGTGTTCTGAGAGGGAGGTGAGACGGCTACGGCTTCCTTTTCAGAAAGGTCTGATTCATCCTTTTGATGTCACAAGGATGCTGACTCTGGTCGCAACCTGAGGTTAAATGAGTCAGGTGGCGGGTTTTCCCCCACCTCCTCCAGAGAGCTGAGCTGCTGCTCTGAAAATGTGGGCATTACAGCCGGCTCTCTCTTGAAAGGCGTGGTCGTGTACAGAGGATGAAGGAAGTACGTAGGACAAGAGTAGCATTAGAACATAAGAGATGCCCCGCTGGATCAGGCCAGTGGTCCATCTAGTCCAGCATCCCATCTCACGCAGTGGTCAGTCAGTTGCTCTGGAGGACCAACCACAGGGCATGGAGGCCAAGGCCTTCCCCTGATGTTGCCCCCAGGCACTGGTGTTCCAGAGGTTCTCTGCCTCTGACTATGGGCATTGTCTTTACTCACCATGGCCAGTAGCCGCTGATGGTCCTGCTTACCTTCCTTTTAAAACCGTCTATGCTCATGGTCACCACGACATCTTTTGACAGTGAATTCCACCTTAAGCATTGAGTAAAGAAGTATTTCCTTCCGCCTGTCCTGAATCCATTGCCCATCAACTTCCTTGGGTGTCCCCTGTCTGCTCTGTGCATACTCTTATAAATCTCTATCCCACGAACCCCACCATCTTTTTTTGAAGCTGAAAAGTCCCAGCGTCTTCAGCCCGTACTCCAGGTGAAGGTGCGCCCACTCCTGAATCATTTGGTTTTCCCTTTCCTGTACCTTTTCCAGCTCCATCATACCCTTTTAAGACAAAGCGACAAGAACAGACCCCTTTGCGTGACACAAGTGTGGGCAGCTGTTCTTGAAAAAGGACAGTTTCTGTCAAGACCTCTCTCGGCCCCACCTACCTCACAGGGTGTCTGTTGTGGGGAGGGGAAGGGAAAGGAGTTTGTAAGCCGCTCTGCGACACCTTTGGGTAGTGAAGTATAAATCCAATCTCTTCTTCTTCTTCTCTGCCCCGGGGTTCCCTCCCAGGCCCATCCTTTAATTAAATTAATTCAATTAGTCAGTGCCCCCGAGAAATTTAAATGCCCCCCCCCCAACTTAAACATTTCTGGCTACGGGCCTGGAGCCAACCAAAGTGTGCCTTTGTTCTTGCAGGAATTACCATGTGTTTTACTATTTGCTGCTTGGTGCCGGTGAAGAGGAACGCATGGCACAAGTGTGGGCAGAGCTTGCTGCCAGCGGGGGTGAAAAAGCCCCACGTCTCCTGGCTGATCTACTATAGAGGCATTCCAGAAATTTGGGCATGATGTTGGGCCCCGAATCTTGAGAGTGAAATGTTCTTTTGCTTCATTTGTAGGCTTTTGGAAATGCAAAGACGGCCCATAATAACAACTCCAGCCGCTTTGGGAAATTCATCCAGGTCAACTATTTGGAGAATGGCATCGTCCGAGGGTGAGTGGGGGGGCAGGCTGGCTGGCTTGATAGAGGGTTGGTGCAGCCTTGTGAAGAAGATGTCATTCGGCGGGGGGTGGAGGGGCAGACTTCAAGAACATCCCTCCACACGACCTTAAGAACATTGGGAGAATTCTCCCCTGCTTCAGGGAATCGAGTTAACAGACTCGGGGTGGATTACAGACCACAATCTTCCCGTCTTTAGGGAAAGATCACAACCCAGAAAGCAGGCGGTGAGTTGGAGTGCCCATGGGGTGGCCCCTCCCCCAGCAAAATACACTCCAGTTTGGATGCCGCACCAGAGCAGAGCGTCGGCACCAGGTCTGACATCTTTCTTCTGCTGTATTCCAGGGCCGTCGTTGAAAAGTATTTGCTTGAAAAATCTCGTTTGGTGTCTCGGGAAAAGAACGAAAGGTAAGGCATCGTGTGCCTCTGCACTCAGGGGACGTCTCGCTGGGACAGCTATGTGTTCCGCTTTGCTTATTATAAACCAAAATTCTGTACTAAAAGTGCCCCGAATAGGGAAGTGGGTTCAGGTGGTTGACAGAGGAGTCTGTGGGGTGGGGTGGCGAGGTGAGGCTGGCTCTGGAAGGGTTCTGCTGAAGAAATGGGACTTGGAGAACTGGGGGGGGCGCTATCTAGCCACGGTGGCAGAAGACAGGAGATGCTGCTGCCATTTGGAAAGGGGGTTCCTGATTGCAGTTCTCCAGGAGCTCAGGCAGAGAAAGGCCTTCCCCATCACCTGGGATCCCTTCTGCTTGTGAAGTGAGGGATTCATATCCGGGCTTTCGGCCTGCCCCCTCTCTCCAAAAGCCCACAATTATCTCTGGCTGTCCTGCATCACCTTGAACCACTCACTGGCAGCAGTTCTCCAGATCCTGGGCAGAAAAAGGTCTTACACAACAGGAGAGCAAAGCCTGTGATCTTTGCCCACCTTATGAGAGTCTTGCTGGTTTGAAAAGCTCCCTCGATGCTGTCTGCTCAGACTGGTTGTGGCTTTTGGGCAGAGAGGGGCCCGTAACTTACTACCTGAGACCCCTCTTCGTGGAGGTATCATGATTGGAACCCAGGGCCTTCTGGAAGCAAAGCATGTGCTGGGCTCAGTTGTGGTTACTCTAAATCAGTGCTGTTTCCGCACAGTGGGGCAGAGGAAGGTCCTTCCCAGCCCCTGCTGCCAAGATCATTGAAGGGGGGAGTGTGGGGTTTGAACCACCCGCTGCACACCAGAAGGGGATGCGCCACAGAGTGCTACCGCTGTGCTGCAGCCTGCCTAGCCAAAAGAGATTCCACAGAGAAGAAAAACGTTGCAGCCAGTCAGACAGCTGTAGATGGATTCTGCCTACTCTTTCCTGGCTCTAGGTTTCCTTCCAGCAGCATTGACCTCTACCAAGAGCTGGCTCCTAATTCTGCCTGCGCTGCCCAAGAATGTTTCATGTGGATAGTGGGGGGTCTGAGCCGACCAGGCCCGTAGCTATGGTGGGTCCTCTAGGGGCCTGGCCCCCCGACTTAGTGCCAGGGCCCCCTCAACTTACTGCCAGGAGGCTGCCTGCTCTCTCTTCCTCTGCCTGCCTTCCCTCCCCCGAGGCACTCGGCGGGCAGGGGGCACACAGAAGGAGCCCAGGAAGCCGAAGCGAGCGTGCCTCCCCTGGGACGCCTTGCCGCAGCCAGAGCTCCAGCCCGGACTGGCCACCGCTCCCATGGAGAGCCTGGAGCACTCCTGCTGCTGAGGGCCCTCGCGGAGTGGTGCGGGGAGCGAGCACCAAGCTGGTCTCCTCCAATGTTTCCTCTAAGCTGTGGAGTCTTGTGAGCAGAAATGCTACTTTGTGAGCTGCTGGCATTAAAGTTGCGAGCAAGCCATTTGGCTACTGCATGAATCAGTTTGCTCTGGAGCCCTCCTTCCTGAGCTAGGGCAAAAATGCGTGAGCTGTTGGCTAAAAAACTGTGAGCTAGCTCACACTAACTCAGCTTGGAGGGAACACTGGTCTCCTCCCCTCTGCTCTCTATCTCCCAACCATGCCGGGAAGGAAGGAGGACGCCTGCTCTCCCCTCCTCTGCATGCCTTCCCTCCCCCGAGGAGCTCGATTATCAAGCCGACAACCCTCTGGGGGGGGGGAGGACTCCAGGAGCAGAACACACAGCAAGGGACCTCCAAGGGGAGGCAGGTGCCTGGCTTGGAGATGGGCTCCTTGGACTCCTCCTTCAGGAAGCATCCGCCTCCTGACCTCCAGGTAGTTTGCTCCCTGGAGGCCCCGGCCCGGGATCTCCCTCCCCTGTGTCAGGAGCAGAAGTGCCCAGGAACTACTGCTGCACTGCACTTGCCTCCATCTCTCTTCCCCAGCCAGGAAACTTTCACCCGCCATCTCTCCTGAGCTGTGGGCACTACCTTGGTTGGTTTGGCTTCCCCCCTCCCATGCCGGGAGGGAAGGAGGCTACCTACTGTCCCTTCCCAGTTTGGTGGGAGCCAGTTTGGTGTAGTGGTTAAGTGCGCGGACTCTAATCTGAGAGAATCAGGTTTGATTCCCCATTCCTCCACTTGCACCTGCTGGATGACCTTGGGCAAGCCATAGTTCTGGCACAGCTGTCCTTGAAAAAGGACAGTTTCTGTCAGAGCTCCCTCAGCCCCACCTACCTCACAGGGTGTCTGTTGTGGGGAGGGGAGGGGAAGGGAAAGGAGTTTGTAAGCTGCTCTGAGACTCCTTTGGGTAGTGAAGGGCGGGATATAAATCCAATCGCTGCTTCTTCTCTGCCCCGGGGTTCCCTCCCAGGCCCATCCTTTAATTAAATTAACTTTAATTCAATTAGCCAGTGCCCCCGAGAAATTTAAATGCCCCCCCCCAACTTAAACATTTCTGGCTCGGGCCTGTAGCCAACCAAAGTGTGCCTTTGCTCTTGCAGGAATTACCATGTGTTTTACTATTTGCTGCTTGGTGCCAGTGAAGAGGAACGCACGGAATTCCACCTCAAGCAGCCGGAAGATTACTTCTACCTCAATCAGGTACGCAAAGATCCTCTTTGTGTGGGTCTGGCCAACAGGTGCAAAGGGGGGTGCTTTGGCCACAGAACAAGCCAGTATTCTGCACAAATACACGCTCCGCTTCCAAAAGGCAAAAGTGCTGGGTGTGTGTGTGTGTTTTGTCTTCCATTGCCAGACTGGGGTGGTTGCAAAGGGACACCTCCTTGACCATCATGTAGCACCACTGCTGTCTCCTCCTCCTCCTCCTGTTCTCATGAAATGCCACTTCCTTTCAGTTTATAGTGCGAATGTGATCACAGATCCAGATTTCACTCTTGTCTGAGAGAATGATCCAGCATTAAGCCTTCAAACATAACAGGCTGTGAAACAGTTATCATCAAAAGCCCACCTGCCTCTGGTTTAGCCATGAATATCACCCCTGTGTAGCACAGTGTTGAAAAGTGCAAGTTGAGTGTAAAGTTGATCTGTTTATGTGAACCTCTCCCCCACCCCACCCCATCTGAGGCAGCTGTGTACTCAATTTGGTCGTCAAGCATAAGCCACCTCCCTACCCAAATTGGCATTATTGATTTCCTGTATTTTATTTTTGTCCGACTCACCAGCCAAACTGGAATTTAAAAATGGGCTACCTTCCCCCTTGCAAAAAAACCCAACAATCTCTCTGTGAATAAGTGGATAATGTTTGCCTAGCTTAGAAGGCAGTTGTAAGGACTACCCTGCTAATACAGTGAAAGCCCCATGGCTGTTCTGTCCTTCAACAAAGGCCCTGTTGTATGTTTGGGGACTGCCATGAACAGAATGGGGAAATGCTGGCAAACCGTGCAGATTATCTGGATCTGGGTGTGCTGGCAGTGTAGGTAGAGGGTTACCCCCACCACAAAACAGAGAGGAGAAAAGGACTACTTTTCTGACAGCCGATTTTAAATTGATCGAATGCTGTTGGGCAAACTTGCCCCAAGTCCATGGCTCAGTGCTTTGCATACTTCTCAGGCTCAGTCTTTGGTATCAGGGCCGGTTCCAGGTTTTTGGAGGTCCCGGACGAAGTTCCCAGGGCCCTCTCCTCTGCGAACCACCAAGCCCCACTCACACCCTCATTCCCTCTCCCCTGCCTGCTTGTATGACCTTCCACGACCCATACTCACAGCCACCTGCACCGGCCCCAAGCCCTTCCCCTGGTAGCACTGGGAGGTGCGTGCAGCTGGAAGTATGGGTGGTAGAGTACTAGTGGGGGGTGGCAGCAGTGGGGCTTCCTTGAAAACCTGCTGTGCCAATGCCAGCCCTGCCTGGCATCTCCAGATCCTGGCCCTTGGGAAAGAAGTGGCATTGGTCAAGACCCCAGGAAGCCAGTGCCAGTCAGCACAGATGGTGCCGAGCAGTGTGTGCCGGTCACGAGGCTGGGCGCTGACTCCACTTGGGGACTCTTTTGTTGGTGATGATAGCAGCCTCTTGGTCTCACTGGGAAGTTACGGGGGAGCAATCTCTTGCCTGGCAGATAACACCAAAACCCCTAATAACGTTTTAGGACCGTTTCAAGGTAACTCTTATTCTCCCCCCCACCCCTGAAACACGATGTCAAAAAAGCTGCCATTCGAACTTTCCAAAATCAATAACGACTTCTAGTGTAACTTTCTGGTTCCTGGCGTCTGAGTGGAGACTCCCGTGTTTGTCCCTGCGGGTTCTCTTGAGTGTGGCTGCCTCTTTCTCAACAGCATAACTTGAAAATCGAAGATGGAGAAGATCTGCAGCATGACTTTGAACGACTAAAGCAAGCCATGGAGATGGTGGGGTTCCTCCCAGCAACAAAGAAACAGTGAGTCCGGCTGCTTTGCAAACTGGTTTGGTTTTCTCCCCCCGCCCCTGTATTAGAGGGGGAAGATGTGTGCCAAGGGTGTGGATCAGGCTGTCTGTAGCAACAAGAGTGCCACACTTCACATGGGAAACTTTTAATTAAAGCACTTTTAGCCAGTCCTTCCTCCAAAGGGCGGGGGGGGGGTTGTTACACTGTTCTCCCATCCTCTTGTCAGCTGCCCTGTAAGTTGTAGGTACGCTGGGCAGAGGCACCATGACTGGCCCACCGTTTCCCAGCTTCCTGGCAGTGTGGGGATATGACGCTGGATCTCCCAGCTCCTAGTCCAGCGTGCTAGCCCCTGGGTCGCCCTGCCTCCCGTCGGTACAGAGCCCGTGTAGCAGCGTTTCCCAGCCTGTGCAAGCGGCTCCTGTGGCAGCTTCTGTAGTAGTTTCATTGATTTGTGCACACTTTTATTTTTGTAAGTGGGTCACTGCACCTAGTAAATTTGGACTTTTGGGTCGCCATACCCAAAAGGTCAAAAGGCTCTGGTCTTAAATGACCCCGGTAGAACCAACGCGGTGAGTTGGCAAACGGGAAATAATTTCCCCGGTCCCGTAACACATGCGTCGCTTATTGTTTTAGGGTTTTTTTTAGTTGAAATGGATCAAAAATGGATCTTTGGGAACCAGTGTGGTGAAAGACCTTTCTCGGCCCAAGATCCTGGAGAGCCCCCTGCCTGGCAAAGTAGCCCTGACACGGCTGGAGGGGTCCGACGGTCTTACTGCTTTTGCTGGTGAGGCCGCGGGACCTTCCGTGTGTAGAGCTGCTTGGCTGGCTGCTGAGCCCAGATCATAAAACCAAGCCATTGTTAAAAGGTGGAGACAACAGATAGCAAAAGTCTCGGCCTGGCTCCTGGGAGGGCCTAAGGGAGACGCCAGGCAACCCATCTTTGGGAAAGGCCTTCTTTAAGCGACAGGAAGATTCTGCGATGGATTCCCCCGCCAGCATTTCCCTCTCGGGTGGATTGGGGGCTGCTTCACATCTGTTTTGCTAGCGCCGATGTTCACTGCTTGTATTGAGAGCCTTTTGGGATGTTTTTAAACAGAGTTGGGAGGATTATAAATACTTTAAATATTTAACAGTTGGGCATGGATTAAACTTGGCGCCAAAACTTTCTAGTTGAATAGAGGGAACGTTTTCCCTGCTTTTCACTGTGTTTTTCCTTCCCCAGGATTTTTTCAGTGCTCTCTGCTATTCTTTACCTGGGGAACGTCACCTACAAGAAGAGGGCAACTGGTCGGGATGAAGGTCTGGAAGTGGGCCCCCCCGGAGTGCTAGACATCCTCTCTCAGCTTCTGAAGGTATCTTGCTTCTGGTATTTAGATCTGACACAGTCTCCAGGGAGGTGGGGGATGGCTACAAGCCAAATACATGATCTGCGTTCGCCAGGGATGAAAGGAATGGGTATTTGGGGGAGGCCATGGCTGCAAATTGCATGTCGACAGCCCTGCAAGGGGGAAGGGGGTGGAGCAAGATCAGCTGTGCCCTGCTCTACCCTCTCCTCTGTTTTCCTGTATTAGTTAAAATTCTCATCTTGTGAGTTCTGCTGTGTTTGTGTCAAACTGCTGGATTCAGAGCAGCCGTCACTACACTGTGTTCCAGAAGGTTTTGCTGAGCAGTCCCACAACAAGAAGTTTACCAAGCATAAGGTGCTGGTCATGACCTTTAAAGTTCTTAAAATGGTTTGGGACGAGGGCACTTAAAAGATCACTTCTGCCTACATACACCTGGCCTCCAGTTATGATCTTCTGGAGAGACCCTGTGAAGTGTGCCCGCAGCTCCTGAACCGAATGACTACTGGAGGCAGGGCCTTCTCTGTGGTAGCACCTTCCTATTAGAACACCTTTCCATGGATATTTGGAGAAACGTTGCCTGTACAGTTTCCATGGGGGGTTTATTTAATTTTCTCACATTTTTGCACTGCTATTTTAGGGCTTGTTTTCTGTGCTGGTTTTTAACTGTCTTCTGGATTTTCATTGTATTCAGCCTCGAGTTTTTGTGGCTGTGCTCTCTTTGGATTGTTGCGGTTTTTAATGTTTTTGTTTTGTGCCACCTTGGGAGCTGTTGCTTCTTTCTTCTTTTTTCTTAGCTGAAAGGGACTACATATAAATAGTTAAAATAAATAGAATGACAGAAGGATTGTAGCTATTATAAGGTCAGACTCGGATATGAGAGACCTAGTTCTCCAGTGGTCCTAGGGGTGGGGCAGTCTTTACTTCTGGGATAGTAGCTCTTTCTCTCTGCAGGCAGGGTCGTCATCTTGGCAATCCCAGAGGGGAGGGGCTTATACCAGAACTCTCCAGTTTGCTTGGCCCTGCCTAGAAGCATGCAGGCAGGGTCGTCATCTTGGCAATCCCGAAGGGGCTTATACCAGAACTCTCCAGTTTGTTTGGCCCTGCCTAGAAGCAGGATGTCTTCGGCAGTGCTCTTCAGAGCACAGCGACCCGATTAACCAGCTTCCCTTGAAGGACTTTTTAGCAAGTCACCGGTTCAGAAGACAGAAAATTGGAGGGAATTGCAGGGAGCAGGAAGGGCTTCTGCCTTCCCCCCCCCCGCTCCGTAACTTCGTGGCAGTGAGAAACTGGGAGCTGACAGCTGATTCCAAGTGACCTTCAGGGGCAGGTTCCTCCAGGCCCTTCAAAGGGAGATGGCAGCCCAAGCAGCAAAGCAGTAACAGAACAACCTTCTTTAACAAGTCTGGACAGAACACCAAAGGATCTTAGAAGGCATCTTCAGCATGACGATACCGATACTTCAGGCCCCCTCACGGGTCGGAGGTCATCTGGAGCTGCTTGCAGCTCATTGGTAACACACCGTGAACGACAAGTGAGTCTTGGACACAGCCACAAACAGCTATTCCTTGGGATTCAGTTCAATTCCACTCAATCATTTTATTCAGGTACCAAGAAACCCAAAGTATCTCCTTCTGGAGAAGGTGATTCAACACCTGCTGGGCACTGGGGCAATAGAACCAGTGCCGGAAGCACAAAGGACATTGGGACTCTACTCAGTTCCTTTATAGTCCCAAAGATGAATGGGGATGTCAGGGCCATGCTGGACCTCAAGTGGATGAAAAGTCTTATAAGGACCAAGAGATTCAGAATGGAGACCCTCAGGTCAATTGTAGTGTCTATCCAAAGAGGAGACTTCTTGGCACCAATAGCATCCCTATCCGAGAAGCCCATCGAAGGTTCCTGCATTTGCTTATGACAAGAGGCACTCCCACTGCTGGGTTTTTCCATTCAAGTTAAAATCAGTGCCAAGGGTATTTACCAAGGTTCTGGTAGCCCCTGTAGCACATCTGAGGATCTAGGGGGTGCCAGTGTTTCTTTCCTGGAAGACATCTTAATCAAGGCACCCTCATTCCAACAAGGTACAGAAAATGTGAACTGGACAGTGTCTTGTCTTCCGGAACTCATTTTCGTAGTCATATGGGAAAAGAGCAATAGACACCGGGCACAGAAGTTACTCCACCTAGGGGTGTTAATAGACACTGCCCAAGACACGGTCTTCCTGTCATCAGAGAGACAGGAGAAGATTCAGACAACAGTTGACGAGGTCCTTCAGAATTCCAAGGCAGAAGGGATGTTCCTGGCAAATCTACGAGGGATTTTGGTATTTTGCTAGGATGTTCTGCAGTGATCCAGGTTTTGCGCCCATCCGCTCCAGAAGGTCCTGCTCCCATATCAGGACATAATTGCCACCAAGGGTCAATTGTAGTGTCTATCCAAAGAGGAGACTTCTTGGCACCAATAGCATCCCTATCCGAGAAGCCCATCGAAGGTTCCTGCATTTGCTTATGACAAGAGGCACTCCCACTGCTGGGTTTTTCCATTCGAGTTAAAATCAGTGCCAAGGGTATTTACCAAGGTTCTGGTAGCCCCTGTAGCACATCTGAGGATCTAGGGGGTGCCAGTGTTTCTTTCCTGGAAGACATCTTAATCAAGGCACCCTCATTCCAACAAGGTACAGAAAATGTGAACCGGACATTGTCTTGTCTGCAGGAACTCGTTTTCATGGTCATCTGGGAAAAAAGCAATCGACACCCGGCACAGAAGTTACTCCACCTAGGGGTGTTAATAGACACTGCCCAAGACACGGTCTTCCTGTCATCAGAGAGACAGGAGAAGATTCAGACAACAGTTGACGAGGTCCTTCAGAATTCCTAGGCAGAAGGGATGTTCCTGGCAAATCTACCAGGGATTTTGGTATTTTGCTAGGATGTTCTGCAGTGGTCCAGGTATTGCGCCCATCTGCTCCAGAGGGTCCTGCTTCGCATATCAGGACATAATTCCCCTAAGGCAACCAAGGAGAACCCTAATGACAACAGCTCTCCGGGTGCGGGGCCCATGTGGAAGGGAGAATGGTGCAGGGCACCTGCTTGACAGAAGAGGCTGTCAACAGCATCAGCCTACTGGAACTCAGAGCTGTAAGGTCAGGACTATTGGCATTCCAGAATCTCCTTTCAGGACTTCATGTCCTGGCGCATACGGACAACATGACAGCCAAAGCCTATGTGACAATCGGGGGCGGGGGTCAGATACAGGTCCCTTCACAAGAAGGCAGATTTTTTAATGCATCAGGCAAAGCATCATCTGAAGTGCTTAAAAGGGGTGCATGTAACAGGACAGGACAACTCTCTTGCAGATTGGCTGAGTCAAAGGACTCTGAACCAGTCGGAGTGGGTGCTGATTTGTCTCAGTTTTGGCAAGGCAGAAGTGGATCTCTTTGCCATTGATCAAAATTGCCAAGTTCCAAAGTTCATGGCAGGATCAAGGTCACCTCAAGCCATCGAGGTAGACGCCCTAAGCTGTGAGGGGCCAAATCAGCGATTGAATGCTTTCCCCCAATACAGAGGGTGATACAGAAGTTCATAGATCAAAGGGCAGAAGTAGTCCTGGTGGCGCCTTCTTGGCAACGGAGGTTGTGGTTTCGGGTTCTGATGAGGCATTCCTCCAAGAACCCTTGGACCGATCTGCAAGGACCGATAAAGCATCCTCCTCAACCAGGTCTCCTAAACCTAACAGCCTGGAGTTTGAGTGCAACTTGCAGAGATAGGGTATTCAGGGGGTAATTAATACCATGCTAGTCTCTAGCAAATGCTCCACAGATATGGTCTACAAGAACACCTGGCAGGTGTTTCAGGCCTGGTGCCTGAAACGAAGAAGAGATCTTCTCTCTGCATCTGTTAGAGAGGCACTCTCTTTCCTGCAGGAAGGTATAGACAAAGGGCTCGGCACCAGTACGCTCAAAAGACAAGTGACGGCTTTATTCAGCCATTAGGGGTCCCAGGAGAGGAAAATCCTTGTCCCAACACCCTCATGTTAGGAGATTCCTCAGGGGGTACTTCCTTGTTAAATCCTCCCGAGGTTCACTGCTTCTCAACCTGGAGCCTGAACTTAGTACTCAAACTGCTGTGAGCTGTTTGCTCACAGCTTCATGCCCACTTAAGGAGCTAACCCTGAAGACCATCTTTCTTGTGGGCCTTACCTCAGCCAGAAGGGTGTCCAAGCTGTGGGCTCTTTCCACAGATAAGGAACTTTGTATCTTCCACAGCGATAGAGTAGTGCTGCAGCCGGAGCCAGCTTTTATACCCGAAGTAAAGTCCTGTGTTCCTTTGCCCCATTCCTAAGCACACTAAGGAGAAGGAGTGGCATTGTCTAGATATAAGGAAGGCTCTGAATTTCTATCTTGATAGAACAAAGCGCTCCTTAGGACTGACTCCATTGTTGTTTCTTTCAGGAAGTCTCCCTTGGGACAAAGAGTATCTATGTCCACTAGGGCTGTGCAAAAAACAAAAAACAAAAATCGGCCGATTCAGATTCAGCAGAATTGAGCAGAATCAATTTTGGCCAGCAGAAAGACTCCTGCATGTCAATTTTGGCAGTAGGAGCATATTCCCCCAGCAGAATGTCAATTTCAGCCCCATTATATTCTATGGGCCATTGAAGTCAATGGCAAAAACATAGGGTATATTCTGGGGGCCGGAGGGAAGGGGGTTTGAGGGATAGGCTCCAAACTCGCGGAGTAGCTGCTGGGGCCTCTCTCCGAGATCCCCACCAAGTGTCAAGAACATTGGACCAGGGGGTCCAATTCTATGGGCCCCCAAACAGGTTGCCCCCATCCCCTCCATTGTTCTCTATGGTGGGGGGGAAAGTTAATTACGTAGGTGGGTTAGAGAGTGCATCACCCTGGCTTATTAGGCCTCAGGTTTGGATCCATCACAGGGCATCATGGCCCATTCCTTAAGAGGGGTGGCAACTTCAGCAGCCTTTAGGTCTTTCCCTTCCTTAGAAATAATATGTAAGGCTGCTACCTGGAGGACCATGCAGTCATTTACCAGGCATTACAGGAGAGACAAGGTGGCCTCAGCTATAGTGGGCCTTGGAAGGATGATCCTACAGCACGCCCTTCTGGCCTAGGAGCCTGGTTCTTCCCACCTGGAGCATGGCACACTGCTTTTTAAATGTCACAGAAGTGAAGACTACCCCACCCCTAAGACCACTGGGGAATGGAAGATTTGTTTCACTTACTGTGAATCTTCCTTCTTGGTGGTCCAGGGGTGGGGCAGTCTTACCCGCCCGAAGTTTTTTCTCCTCTGGTGTGGGCTCCTAGTGCCGAGAGGGTCTGCTGGTGGAATTTAGGTTCCTTTTGGCCACCGTCACTTTCTCTCTGGAGGGGCCTGTAAGCTAGGGAGTGGTCGGGGCCATCTCCCCCAGCGTTCCTTAGAACCTGAAAAGTTTCTCTTTTGTGGTTACTTCTAGTAGGAAAGTTTTCCTAATGATGTTTTTTTTGAGTGGCTGGTTGTTATGAAGTGGGAGAGTCACAGCTTGGAAACAGACTGGAGAGTTCTGGGATAAGCTCCTCCCCTCTGGGATAAGCTCCTCCCCTCTGGGATTGCAAGGGTGCCGGCCCTGCCTGCAGAGGAGGAGGAGCTACTGTCCCAGAAGTGAAGACTGCCCCACCCCTGGACTACCAAGAAGGAAGATTCATGGTAAGTGAAACAAATCTTCTGTTCCAATCCTCATTCTAGCATGAAGGTTTCTAGGGGAAGGGGCTTCTTGGGCCGCTTGCGCTCTCTGCCTCACCTGCCTCACAGTGATGTTGCGAGGATCATGTGAAGAAGGAAGAACCATCCGCTCCATGGTGGAAGGGCAGGATAGCACTTGCACTAGGCAGACGGACAAGACCTGCTGTCCTGTGCCCCCTCAGTCCTGTTTTCTCCTCCTCACCTGTAGGTGAAACGCGAAATCTTAGTGGAGGTGCTGACAAAAAGAAAAACGGTGACTGCAAACGACAAGCTCATCCTGCCTTACAGCCTCAACGAAGTGAGTACCCTGCAGTGGCAGCTTCGGAAAGAAGAACGTGGGGCGGGGTTAAAGATGGCAAGCTTGGGGGGGGGGGCAGAGAACTGGGGCTGCATTAGACTTTTGTGGGAAGATTGGCCTTCTGAGGTGAGTGGCTCCCAGGGGGTAGGATGCAAATTAAAAAAATCCCACAGATAATGAATGACCCCCCCCCACCCTCACCTTGAGACAGTGGGAACGACCTGCACACTTCCAGGGTTGGCCTCTGAAGACTCTGCACTTGAGAGTCTAAAGATGCTGCTGTGAAAAGGCAAGAGGTGATTAGCTCCTGGCCTCTTAATGGAAATGCATGGTCCACAGCAGCTACAATAGCAGTTTCTGAATCTGAGGGCTGGAGGGGGAAGACTGAGGTTTCAGCTTCCTCTTAGGTTTGGGGTATGGCTGCAGACATGAAAGGGGGGGCTGTTTACAGCTGTGAGGAGGTCAGCGGAGGAGTGAGTCCAGTGTTGTCACCTCTGATGGGCAGCAGCTCTCCTGGGTCTCAGGCAGAGTGGGATCTTCCTCACCCCCTGCCACCTATGATCTTTTGCTCTGGAAATTGACCCCGGGGGCCTCGACGCTTGAGGTTGGCCCCCCTGCGCAAAACAGATTCCCTGACTCCTTTCTGTTTTGCAGATCAGAGAGGCCCCTCGCCGCGATACTTAGGAAGGACAACTTTTATTGTCTCTTATGCCCTGTTTTCTCCTTTGTACATACCTTTAGTTAACATAAGAACAAAAGAGACGCCAATGTTGGATCAGGCCAAAGGCCCATCCAGTCCAACACTCTGTCTCACACAGTGGCCAGAGATACCAGGTGCCATCAGGAGGTCCACCAGTGGGGCCAGGACATTAGAAGCCCTCCCACTGTTGACCCCCCCCCCAAGCACCAAGAAGACAGAGCATCACTTGCCCCAGAGTCCCTATCTATACCTTGTGGCTAATAGCCACTGATGGACCTCTGCTCCATATGCTTATCTAATTCCCTTTTGAAGCCGTCCATGCTTGTAGCCTCCATGCTTGTAGCCTAGTTTAAGAAGATAAATCTCAGGACACCCCACTTTTCTTCTTACGTGCCAAATAACGAGTTCTTCGCTCAGCCTGGATCAGATCAGGGTTTGGGTAACACCTGCCTCTGAAGGGGAGGAGGAGGGATTAAGGGCGTATAAGTGGGGTGGGGGGTGCTTTTTGTTGAGCTGTGTTTCTGTAGTGTGTTCTCTACACACACACACACACACACCCCTTGGTTCCTTTCTGAATGATACTGTCTCCCGTCAAAAAAGGGAGTTTTTTGTATAAGCCAGCATCTTCTAGTGCGCTCCGAGCCTTTCCGAAGCAGAAAAAATTAAGCAAAGTCATGCTGAAGTCATGCATGTGGGTCATCCCTGCAGTGATATTGTTTTCCTCCCTTCATGTGATGAGGTGGGGAGCAGCCAGCACATTCAGGAAAGGGAAGACGAAGTGTGCTGTGTCTGTCTGTTTCTCTGCAGGCTGTCACTGCCCGCGACTCTATGGCCAAGTCACTCTATAGCGCGCTCTTCGATTGGATAGTTCTGCGAATTAATCATGCGCTCCTCAACAAGAAGGACATGGAGGAGTCTGTCACGGTACGTCCCCTGCAAGCAGCCGCTCCATGGCCAGTTCCTCTGAGCAAGGCAAGGGCCTTCGGCACATCGTGCCTTCCTCGGGGCCCAGCTGGTGGATGGGCATTGGGGCGGTTGAGCTGTAGAGGGTGTGAGAAGAAAGTCACTTCAGCACGTTCAGTTCAACGGCAAGAGTCTTGCAAAGGAACCTGCTGTCCCAGTGACCCTGTCCCCCACCCCACCTTGCCTTCGCAGTGCTTGTCCATTGGGGTCCTCGATATCTTTGGCTTTGAAGACTTCAAAACCAACAGTTTTGAGCAGTTCTGCATAAATTATGCCAATGAACAGCTGCAATATTACTTCAATCAACACATTTTCAAGCTTGAACAGGTAAGAGGCTGGGGGGCGAGGGAGTCTGTGCCCCAGAAAAGGTGGAAGGCCAGAGGCCGTCATCGTGGTCTTAGCCGGCCTGCGCTGTCTCCGCCTCCTCTCTGATCCTGGCCTGTGGTATTGAAAGGCTGGGGGGCTTGCAAGATGCTCAGAAGCATGACAGGGAAAAAGTGCACTGTTGCTTGATTTCTGTAACACTTATGAACAAGCATACAAAGCTTTTTTATTCAAAGTCAGGCCTTGGATCCATCCAGCCCAGAACTGGCTGCTCTTGACTGCCAGGGCTTCAGGAAAAGGATCTGAGGTCTTTTAGCTGGAGACGTCAGGACGGGACCTGCAGAGCAGGAGCTCTCATCATTGAGCCAGGGCCCCTCGATCCAAACTTCTCCATCTTCAGGCTGCTTGACAATTCCTTCTCTTCTGCGCCCCAATGGCAATTGTTAGCAGCCTGATAATGGGGTGTATCCAGCTGCCTCCACCTTGGGCGGCTCTGCCTCCATCTTGGGTCCCTCCTAATCCAATGGAAGAGCCACTTCATTTGTGGAAAAAGAGAACTGTTGCTTGATTTCTGTAACACTTATGAACAAGCATACAAAGCTTTTTTATTCAAAGTCAGGCCTTGGATCCATCCAGCCCAGAACTGGCTGCTCTTGACTGCCAGGGCTTCAGGAAAAGGATCTGAGGTCTTTTAGCTGGAGACGTCAGGACGGGACCTGCAGAGCAGGAGCTCTCATCATTGAGCCAGGGCCCCTCGATCCAAACTTCTCCATCTTCAGGCTGCTTGACAATTCCTTCTCTTCTGTGCCCCAATGGCAACTGTTAGCAGCCTGTTAATGGGATGTATCCAGCCTGCCTCCACCTTGGGCGGTTCTGCCTCCATCTTGGGCACCTTCTAATCCAATGGAAGAGCCACTTCATTTGGAGGAAAGCTTCTTAGACTCGAGGAAGTCTCCAAACATGAGCCAAGAGGAAAGGTGGGGTATAAGTATTCTCAGTGGAGTGGTAGGAGCCCCACCAGGTTCAGTGACATTTTTAGCCTGCCCTTTCTCTGTAGCACTCATTTGCCTCCCTTCCGTTTATTACTACTACTACTACTACTATTATTAATTTATGGATTGCCCAGTCCCTGCTACTGCAGGGCTCTGGGCGATGTAGAGCGACGATTAAAAACAACAGACATAGAATAAAACATTTGAATAACATTAATACCACAGATCTAAAAGTCTCAGAAGGAGAGTTCCAATTATTTCCGATTACAGCCTGCCGACCGCTTAGTGGGGGGGGGGGACGACAGGAGGGGGGGGGGGGGGGGAGACGACAGGACCAATACAGAGAGCAGAAGAGGGTGCCAGCCAAGATGTTGCTGTTCTCAACCAGAAGCCTGGCAGAACCCTGTGGAATTGCATAAGATCCCATGGGGCCCTGATGATGTTTGGCAAGAGAGTTCCACCAGGTTGGGGCCAGGAAGATCGAGAAAGCCCTGGCCCTGGGCAAGGGCAGCCAGATGTCTTTGGGGCCAGGGGCCACCAGCAAATTGCTGTCCAAGGAGCATAACACTCTCCCAGGGACATAATGGAGGAAATGGTCCCATAGATACTTCAGCCCCTGACTGCCCAAGGCCACTGTGAGCCAGGGTAGCTGGCGCAGCACCGGTTGTATGTGTGCCGTCCGTGATGTTCCCATCCGGACTCACGCTGCCACATTCTGGATCAGCTGGGGCTTCTGGGTCAGTCTCAAGGGCAGGCCAGCGTCGAGCGAGTTACAGTAATCTAGCCTGGAGGTAACCGTTGCATGGATTACAGTGGCTAGGTCAGGGGGGGCGACAGGAAAAGGGCCAATGGCTGAGCCTGGTGCAGATGGAAAAACGCTAGGCTGGCAATATGCGTGACTTGGGCCTTCATATTCAAGGAGGCATCCAAGATCACTCCCAAACTCTTGACAGACGGCACTGGTGTTAGTGGCGCCCTGTCAAGGGCGAGGTCTGTGCCCCAGTCCTGAAGTGCT